CTTAAAAGCCCATTTCTTATATTTTTCTGGATTTCTGTAAAATTGGCCACTGTACAGATCAGTTTTGATGTGCCAGATGTAGACATGTGCTTAGAAAAAAATGATGAAATTTATGAAGATTGCCAAAGTATGTAATAAAGTAACAGTGAAACTTAGTTAATGCAGTAAAATATTATTACATAATATATTTTACAATTGTAATGCAGTAGAAAAAATAGATAGATCTAAGATTAAGGTTGAATAATTTTAATTGAAATATCGATTATTCACGAATGAATTATCAATAATTGAATTACAAATCTACATACATAACAACAAATCTGATTAATAATTAGATATAAAAGTAATTTGACTAGAGGTAGGCAGTTAGGCTGGCCATCTTGTGGNAATACATTCATTTGTTGCAAATTTATGTAGTAATAATTTGCTATCACTTAAAAATTACAATTCAGTTTGAGAAAATGTTGAACATCACTATCTCTTTAATCATATATAATATAGGGTCTTCCAAAAGGAATGTTACCATTTTAAATTATTGTAATTACATTAATTGTTATCTGAGAATGTTGTAACATACATTAAATAAATATTGGAAAACAAGTTTTATAGTTGCCAATTACAATTTCTCGATGCATGCACCTTGTCACACGACACACATCCAATTGATACTCATTCTTTCTACATTTATTAAGGTATATTTATTGTCACTCCTTCTGTGACTCCTGCAGTTTGCTCAATGACAAGTGATTCTAATGTTGCAAGCTATAGAACAGGGAATGCTTTTCCTGTTGAAATTGCCAGTTTTGTTTACAATGCATTCTAGAGGTAGTAGATGATAAGACATTTGAATGGAGATGAAACTCTGACAGATACTCTATCAATTGATGTACATCACATACTTCGTAGATAATAATTAACATAATTACAGTAATTTAAAATGGTAGCATTCATTTCAGAAGATCCTTTATATGAATGAGCAATTTCTTTTGTTATCGTTTCTTATACTTGTAGTAAATTTCAATTTTGGAGGTTCCTTTGCTAATCTTATTAAATCTTGTAATGCATTAAATATATAAGATAACGCTGAGAATTAACATTCTAAGAAATGCTACTTAAAAGCCCATTTCTTATATTTTTCTGGATTTCTGTAAAATTGGCCACTGTACAGATCAGTTTTGATGTGCCAGATGTAGACATGTGCTTAGAAAAAAATGATGAAATTTATGAAGATTGCCAAAGTATGTAATAAAGTAACAGTGAAACTTAGTTAATGCAGTAAAATATTATTACATAATATATTTTACAATTGTAATGCAGTAGAAAAAATAGATAGATCTAAGATTAAGGTTGAATAATTTTAATTGAAATATCGATTATTCACGAATGAATTATCAATAATTGAATTACAAATCTACATACATAACAACAAATCTGATTAATAATTAGATATAAAAGTAATTTGACTAGAGGTAGGCAGTTAGGCTGGCCATCTTGTGGTAAATTTAACAATTAGAAATAAATTTACCATAAGATGGCAGCCTAACTCCTTACTTCTAGTCAAATTACTTTGTTCTAATCATTGAACTAGCCTTAATATAGCCCAACAAATCCAGCAGATCATTTGGCATTTGACAGAATTATCTACATAATATAATGATATTCTCCAACCTATAATAAAGTTCTCTATTATTATTAAATAAAATAATATAAATGATTCATTTGAAGTAATAATGAAATACACTACTTTCATTATAGTTTCAAAAATTAATTTAAAAACTTTTATTTAAATTAAAGTAAAATCTGATAGTGATGTAATAATAAATAATCAAGGATGACACTAAATATACAAATTTTGAACATTTTAAATTTCTATTTTTTCATAAACTATTGAATAAGAAGTAAAATTTCTCTTCCTTCTTAGCCAAGCCTAACAGAGAAAAACTGTTAAACTGAATATTCTTTTGAGAATCTCCACTATTAAGACCCTTGAAAAAATATTAATCCTCGTTGTCATCAAAGGAAATAATGATCAAAAACAACAATCAGTTTTTTAATATTCTTTATAAAAACTTGTTTCCATTTACCAAAAGCTGACATTTAACTTTTGATCGAGCAGAACATCAGAATTAAAAATTTTTGCAGAATTTAGCAGTCTTTAAATCAGTGGCCTGGTGTAAATCATATCCAGAAATTTTCAAATATTCCTTCAGAAATTATATATGGCTTCTTACCAATTATATGAAATTTTTTATTTTAATAATTTTTCTTCTGTTTCATTCAAATTTTCGTCTTATATCTTCACACGTTACAGTAGATTTAGTGATAATGGTCCGGCATCAATTTGTATCATCCACAGATTTTCAAAAAATAATCATTATCTTGACAAAAAAATAATCTGACAACTCAAGTTTAGTTAGGTTATATTAATATTCAATGGAGCAATAGAACTTATTTATAGATTTGAAAATCCATTATAACCATAATAATTTTTAAAATTAAATTATTATTCTCTATGATTTTTTAATAACAAAGTTATTGTTTTTTTTATGTTTAGGCATTAAAGATACTCCGTACGGCGGAATACGCCCCTTATGTGGTGTTTATAGATGCTCCTTCTTTAACCAATGTTGAAGATGTAAGTTGCAAAATTTTGTTATAGCAATTCTAATAACTGTTCCACATGCAAATGTAATTTAAAAAAAAACAGTAACAGAGTTATTACAGATTAATCATCAGGTTTTAAAACCCCATTACTTACAAAGTATCGAGGTGGGTTGTCTGTAACAGATACAAAACAAAAAAGAAATGCTCCAAATTTGAAACATGTGCATAAAGACATTTTTATGGCAGCACAAAGGTGATTATGGATCAAAAGGTATTTTGTGTTTTGGAATATGGGAAGTACTCATTCCTAGGCACCATACAGCATGCATTCCAACAATACCTGAATACAGAACTTTGATATCACTGGATTGGGCATTGTAATAACAGTGACAGCACTGTACAGATAGCTTCTTAATCTCCAGGCCTTACACCATGATTTTTATCTGTGAGAGTATGTAAAGGATACAGTTTACATGCCTTTATCACCCACATCTTTGGCACAGCTCCAGGATGCATTACTGCTGCAATGATGACCAATTGCTGCAACATATAGGGCAAACTGGACTACTGCTTGGACACGCATTGTATTATTAAAGGAACACACAGAACATCTGTAGTTCTACGACACAAGCCTAGACAGATTCTAGTTCTTTTAATGTATCGCCTATTGTTAAATCTGAATTATACTGAATTATTGTCAAATTACAGTTGCTTGAAAACCTATGATTCATTTGTAATAACCCTGTATATAAACATATTTATAAAATAACTTTGAATTGACCAAATAATGTAGATGATTAAAAAGCATCTTAGGTGATTTAAATTTTAATATGATAATCCCTTTCAACTTTACAATTAAATAATATGAGAAAGGAAAATGAAACATGCAGTCTTAACACTAATATGCATTTATAAAACATTACTTGTAGCAAGTAAACCTCCAGTATGATGTTTAATTGTATATGTTTTAGTAAAGTTGAAGTTCATAATATATTACTTTGGGATCTTCAATAGAATATTCGAATGTTGTCTGCTATCATCCAAAGTTAATTAAAGGACACGGCAACATGGTAGATAACACAGGCATGCAGATTCCCTTTTTATTATTATTTTTAGTAACACAAAGGAAATCTACACATCTATAAAACAACACTTTTGATGCAATTAACCCACTGACTTCCGAAATGCACGGTTGCTCTTGGAAAATACATATTCTTGAGTGGAATCCTTTGAGAAGGAAAGATCACATTTTTCAAAGACTGCATGCCACTACCAATTGATTGGTAGTGGCATGCCTGCAATTGCCACTACCAATTGATTGGTAGTGGCAATTGAAAGACTGCATGCCTCTTTATTAGAGGTAAGGTGACAAGGCCACTTTCTGAAGTAAAAGGTAAAGTGAAAGGTATAGCAAAATGAATGATTAAAATTTTTATTTTTATAATGTCTGCTTGGACCTTATTACACTGGCATAGTTTCTGATTAATAAAGAGAGGAAGTCTTTAGTCAAAAGGTAAAACAGAGTATCTTTATTTCACCTGTACATTCTTTTTATCCTATAGGCTCCTCTTCAGTAAGTTTAAACATTCTGTAACAATTGTATAAAAACTTTTAAACAATGATATTATACCCAACAATATCTGATATAAGTTAACAATTACATTTTCTTTACTGTCCAATATTAATACAACACCAATACCAACATAAAGCATCTAAAAACAGAGCATAACATAATTATCATAATGTTTTCTATTTTACTCCTGTATAAAATAATAAAACTATTAAAAAATTAAGGGTAATGTTGTAGTTTACATTTGTAAAGTACATTTATCTTCCTTTACTTATTTCCGTTGTTGGTTTGCCTAGGCCCAAATGAGGTACTCTAGTGGTGAGTTGTGGGACCCAGCATATCTTAATTAATTAACAGACCAATCCTCTGTAAAATTCCTAGTGTTTCTCAACTTAACAAATTTGTTTCTTGGTCNTAAAAACAGAGCATAACATAATTATCATAATGTTTTCTATTTTACTCCTGTATAAAATGATAAAACTATTAAAAAATTAAGGGTAATGTTGTAGTTTACATTTGTAAAATAAGAAATGTTTTTCATAATAATTGGGTGGTCTGTCAATTATTGGGTCCTTTTTTAAAATCATCATTATTTTTAATAATTTTTTAAAAATTTTACCAAAGTATTACGAACATAGTTTTAGTAAAAAGAACTATAAATAATAACGAATTATTGTATAATTATAATGTACTGTATTGTAATTCTGTATAATAATTTAATGTACAGGGCCATTCATAAATGATGACCACACTGGGAGGGGGATTAAGCCAAGCCATACAAAAGTACAGTTGCACAGTACCTGTACAATTATTATAGAATGTTATAAACCTCAAAGAGGGTCCTACAGAGTTTTGTTAAGTTATGGCAATGCAACACCTGGATGATCCTCCTAGGGGGATACCTTCTGGGAGGTCGTTTTAAGGATAATGGACCCCTATTCAGGTGTTACAGACGTGGAGAAAACTCCATGTGGCCTGCCCATCCTGACAAGGAGCAAACCCATAACCAAACTCCCAATGCTCAGGGAATGAAACTACTTGGCTCCTGGTGGGCTAAGAGGACTACAGGGTAAAAGCAGTGTACAGGTGAAAATAAAGATACTTTGTTTTACCTTTCCACTAAGGCTTCCTCTCTTTGCTAATCAGAAACTACACCAGTTTAATAAGTCCTGTTTATAAATAAGGTGCAAGTGGACAATATAAAAACAAAAAAGTAAAACTTAATGTTTTACTTTTTTGTTTTTATATTGTTATATTAAGGACATAGAGGTAAAAAAATTAATGAGTGATTAAAATATTCAGAAAAGAGAAAAGGAAGAGGAAAAATAATAAACCAAATACAGTACAGTTGTTTATAAATAGATCATACAAGAATGCAGCACTAGAGAGGCAAATGAAAGTAGAAGTGGCAAGAGTTTTGCCTCAGGCAGAAACACCATTCTCGACAGAAATTACAATCATTCCAAACACTTTATATTTTAACCTTATAATTCGTTTGAAATTCATACTTTTTGAACTATTCGTATTTGGGTGTATCACGATACAGAATTAATTTATTTGCAGACGGACGGAAGTCTTCAGCGGTTGGCAATAGAGAGCGATATTCTAAAACAGGCGTACCGACATTTCTTCGACCTGATCATCGTCAATAACGATATCGAAGAAACGATACTGACGCTGGAAAAGGCGTTAGACAACACCAACAACACACAGCAGTGGGTACCCGTCAATTGGGTGTATTGATCTCTCCTCCAAACGTTTTCTTACCGGCACCTTTAATGCGGATATACCAGTAGACCCCCCTATAACACTGTAGATAAGTCTGTGTTATATGAATTCCATCTTGTACGAGTCACTTNTTACTTTCAGTGGGAGGTCTTATATTTCGCAATTCAGCAAAATCTGTGCTAGGTCTTATTTTCTGCGGATGTCTTATTTTCGGGGAAACACGGTAGACATGAAATATTTGGAAAATTCCATGTAGACACCATATAAATCTGTTGCCCCACAACTTTAACCTAATGTAACCTGAAACCAACATGGAGTTAAGGAAAAACTAAACACATTGCCTTCCACCTTTACATTATTTATATCTTATTTTAAAAATTCTACATGTATGTTGCATTTGGAACCAAACACCATTGTCAAACTTCTAGGTTTACAGGAAAGAGGTGCTGACTTACACATTTTCGCGTTTAAAACTTCGGCCTTAACCTCGCTATTTTTTTGAGAATTGTAACATTTCTTTATTAAATAAACTAGCACGAGTTGCTCAACTTTCCCAGTAACATTTAAGTCCTCACACCTTCGACCTAAATTCAACAAAATTTAATAGCATCTCCCTACAAAGTGTCAGAAATATATGACAAAAACACAGGAGCTATTAAGCTTCAAAAAAGTTGTGAACAAAATTGTGCATCCCACACTTATACATTAACATCCATGCTTATAAAATAAACCCTGAACTTTTCTTTTTGCATTTCTCGACGTTGAAAGGTCCACTGAGTCCAAAAATGTAAACATCTGCAGATTTTTTTTTACATTGGCATTCCCATAGTGGAATTGCCAGTATGTGAAGAACGGGGAACGACACCCAGAATGGATCACCCCTGAAAAATTCCCGATGTTTGTCAACAATCCGGATTCGATTTCAGAAAACCTGAGCAGCGAGCCTCCATATTAACAGCTCGACCATTCGGCCATTAGTTTTACATCTGTTGTAATGACGATGTGAAATTGCCGAATCGCGCTAAAATCTTAGAATGACGGAGTAGATCCGGATCGTATGTGGGAGCGAATTATCCAGAGACAAACTTCACAGTTACATAATTATGGTCCCGATTTATTGTTACAAAAGAATGCTTACAATATCAAAGATCTACCGTTGTTGGGTGAAATAAAATTTCTTGGATCCTCTCTTTTCCGTGGAAGGTGCCTGTCCCTCAGGTGATAATCTCCTGAAGTCTGCTCGGAAGTAGATTGCCCCGGGGCGTTGTTGAGAGTTAAATACGAGAACTACTCTCTTTTTTCTTGTTAGATCGAACATTTCTTTATACGGATACGAAATTTCCACGTTTTTATACCAACAATCTTACGTAATCATTTTATAAAATTCTTTTAAAAGTTTGCGTTGTTCCGAGTGTTTTCGGGTCCTTACAAGGATATCATGAAAACTTCAAAAACACCTCATAATTGAGAAATTTATGCCATACGTCTTGTATTAGGGCCGACATCGTAGGATTTCTATGTATTTTACGCAGAAAATTGTAACTAATGGAATTGAAAATTCAGATTCATTTCAGATTGCTAAAAGAAAGATAACGAAAAAGTTTTTATTTTATCAAAAACATATCGGATATTTTTTATTCATCTAAAACAATAATTAAATTGTTGTATTTTGAATATGTTAATGACCAATTTATTATTTTAATATTCAGCTTCCACGATAAACTTTACAATAGGTCTGACAAAATCCGGATACCTATTAACAATAAATACCGATCTATATTAAGTTATGCGTGTCATTGACACTTCCATAATTAAAATATAATATTTTATTTTTCAAAAATATAAATTTTGTACGAATTAAAAGACTAAACGCCGATCGACGTCATTCGTGACGTCATTACAACAATGCAATATTTTAACAATTGTTAACAGATCAACAATGAAATTAAATCATTGTTGAAATCGTCCTTATCAAATCGTTCTTCAAAATTTTCCATTGATAAAAATCAATGTTTTTTTGAAAAGTTTAGAATAAAAAATAAGAAGAAATAAAGAAAGAAAACGAAAACTCACAACAGAATTGAGGAATTCGAAAAATTCCAATGAAAACAAATTTCCGAGGATTTCGAAAATGGCAGCAGCAAAATATGAACACAGTTACTACAAACTTGGCAAATTCGAGAAACATCACAACACAATTAATAACGTGAGTCATTTTATAATACTTTATACCAGGGGTGGCCAACCTGCGGCTCTCGAGCCACATGCGGCTCTTTGAAGGATTATTTGTGGCTCTCGATAAATGTACCCGAGTTCCCTTTTCATTTTTGTGTTATTATAGTTTAAAAAATTATTATCGTTCCGTATGTGTTTCAAAATGTCTTTTAAATTACTAACAACAAATATGAAAGACTAAGTGCAACGTTGTAACAAATTTCATTTCCGTCTAAGTTAAGAATGATATGACTCATCGAAAAGTGTGCGAACGAACATAAACAGTGGCGTAATCGTCCGTTATCGACCGACTCCAGACCGACTTTGAATTTGTAAACTGTCATTGCAATGGACAGTTGACATTGTGCTCTGGAGGAAACAATTTGAATCACTCTTGCTACGGATATAATTTGTAATCTGAAATTTTTGCATACCTTTTTAATACGTATTTAATTGCGGCTCGCGAAAAATTTCAAATTTTGAAAAATGGCTCGGACTATCAAGGAGCTTGGCTACCCTGGCTTTATACTTTAAACAGAGTAATATCGCTATCGGTGTCGGAGCTTTAATATCGACCCTCGCTCCGCTGAACGGGGCGATGTTCTGACGGGAGTCGGGACGCTATATCGTCTCTCGCTGCAACAGAAAGGGGAGATATGATTTAGGTAGGTGTTTTACAGTGGATAAATAAAACTGGATGATGTAAATGGTCGTACAAATGCTAAAAATTATCAAAACATGATCGGAGCATACTATTTCCAACCGTATAGCAAAAAAAACTTCGTTTATCAGCAAGAGAAAACGGGTTGTCATGCAGCCATAAGAAAGAAAGAAGTGTTCAGCCGTATAACATTACTCTATTTTGTAGCTAGTGTACTTGTTTACACGATGTGATTTCCTTAGAAAATATATGGTGATATGGAATGTCTATTTATGCTAACAGTGAACTGTCTAATACAGTTGCAGATCTTTGTGCAGCAAATTTTGTGTTTCTTTTAGTGTTTTTAATCCAAAGAGAAAGGAAAAAATTCTGTGTAAGCATTATTTATAACCATTTTACAAAGGTTTTTATATGGGCTAGTTACAAAGAAAATCTTGCCCGAAAGCATCCAATTTTACAGATGTTTTCGTGCATTGTCTTATTCAAATGTTTTCTAGTTTTCTTTGGATTTGCGACACGGTTTGAATTTAATAAGATTTCTAAGACACACCATAATTTTTAAGACAAAAAATGTTTAAAATTGTCACAATTATAACACTATTTTAGATATATTTGTTTTTATTACGTAAGAAATACAGTAAATGTATAAATTATAATGGAATAAAGTATATTTAAATTTGTTATTTATTTATTGTTTACAATTTGAATCATTGCGTTAAGAACTACTATCGGTCTTTAAACTGATAATCGGCAACATTTGTAGATCGCCTGAGTTGGTACGCAGGCATATGCATAGATGAACTAAGTTTTGTGAGGGGAGATATGCTGATGCCCTCAAATTTTGCAGCAATTGGCATTTTTTCCTTCGGTCGGTAAAAAGATGAAAGATAAATTATAAAGAGCTCATTTGAAATTCCGAAAAATAAAGCGAGAGTCACGGCAGTGACTCCACGCCAAGTCGAAAAGTCATCGATTGACTGACTATACATACAGGAATCAGAGTTGACAACTTTCGGGAGTTGATTTCTCTGCCCCCGAAACGTCTATAATAATTATGAATATCTCGTTTTAAAGAAAATTATTTTCTTAGTGTGCAAAATTTCAGATTTTTCTGTAAAGGGAATGGCAAAACATAAGCAATCGAAAAATGAAAAAATCTCCAGAAAAATCTGTATTTTCTTCTGCTGCTTTTCTTTCTTTTCTTTATCCGGCGCTGCATACGTTCTTAGAAAACAACTACTGGGTTTAGAAAGCTCAACTTTTAAACTTAAAGCTTGGGTGAGGATCTGACAAAACTTTCGGGTTGATAAATCAAATTTCACGGGGTTCCCTGGAGAGCTATTTTACTTTTATGGCTTAGTTTCGCGCTTCTAAGCATAAAATTGCGCTTAAACGAATGATTTTTATTACAAACGTTATCCAGAATACTAAAAGTTCAAATTTTTTATAATTACAGCTTTTTTATAACTATTTTACTGAACGATGAAACGTTCAGTGCATGTGCGTGTAACTTTATTGCATGTCCTTGCATGAATTGCATATGCTGTACTAATACTGTATGTCGTCATCTTGGGTCTTAATGTAAAAAGCAATTGATATCCAGACAAAAATATTTTTCTTAAGAGTTTTTCTTTGGTGAAAATGGCAGTTAAGCTTTCAAAGGGTTCAATATGAATTTTTAAACGATCCAAATTATTAGTAAAAAATCAAGCCCCGTTAAACAGAACAGCGCTAACAATAGCCATATCATTGCCAAGTTAGATAGTTTTTTTTTGTTCTGTATACATAAAAAGAAGAAGTATTGGAATCGTGTCAAATTTGAGTTTCTTGCAAATCTTCAAGTTTTGAGACCGCTTGAACTCAAAGTAAAAAAAAAAAAAAAACAAAATCCGTGGGTATGCGTGTGTTTGCATCTATTTGGTTTAATATCTCAGGATGGGGTGAAAATTAAGGAACGAAGTTTGGCATGGTAACTTGTATGTAGGTGGCATTGATACTGCTAAATTTTGGTGTCTAAAGGTCGGGGGCATAGTGAGATAGAGCGGGTTATTTGTT